TCCTTCTTCAGGCTTCTTTTGTACTAGACATGGGTCCAGCCAGCCCTGACCCAGCAGCAAACAGACCTGGGGCAGGTTCAACTCATCTCACTCAGCAGTGCCACCACAAAGAAGGGCTGATCCAAATCAGGCAGCCCCAGCAGTGCCAGATTCTTGTCCCATTACCTGATTCTTGTCCAGCTCACAGTTCTTGTACTCATTCTCCCCTTGCTCCTGGAAGGTGACGATGACAAAGCCCACAAAGATGTTCATCATGAAGAAGGCAATGAGGATGATGTAGATGATGAAGAACATTGCAATCTCCACCCGGTAGTTGTAGATAGGGCCTGCATCCTCAGCATTGGTGTCAATGGCCATGTACAGCAGCCTACAGGAGGGAAATCGAGGCAACAGAAATCCTAAATGGGTGGGAAAGACCATGTCTCCTCTTGAAGGTTACAGAGAGCTTTCAGGACATCCAACAATGGTGGGACAGGGCTGCTTGGGTAACCTTGCCAGCTCCACAGCCACTGCCAGGGTTACTGGTCCTGCTTTTCCACCTGCATAGCTCCTCTTTCTTTACCCTGGCCAAGGCCCATGGCAGTGCCCTGCTCCCAGCACAGACCTCTCAGAGGGACTCACTCTGGCCAGCCCTCGAAGGTGGAGACAGTGAAGAGCGACATCATGGCTGAGAAGACGTTGTTGAAGTGGAAGTCGCTGTGCAGCCAGACACGCTCCTGGACCTCAATCTGCGTGGGGTCTGCGTCCACATAGTTGATGAACTGACCCCTGCAGCAGAGGGGACACAGAGCTCAGGGCCCCCTCAGCCCAGGCTGCAGCACTGGCCTGGGCCTCCTTGGTCCCTGGGAGGGGAGGACAGCCCTGTGCTTGTTCCTGATTGACCCCAGGGAGAGGGAGAACAGGACGACACCTCAGATCCACTTTCTGGATGCAACATTCCCACACAGGAACACAAGCATTGCCCACCACATCCCCCCCAGCTCCCATCCCTGGCCACTGCCCACCTGGGAGCTGCAGAGAGCTCTTACCTGCACTCCTTCTCCGTCAGCTTGGATGGGTCTGTGCACCTGTAGAACTTGCCCTGCATTCAACAGAGACCAGAAGTGTCCATGGTATTGTTTTCACTTTAGAAGCCCTAAAGTTTTGACATTTTCCCAGCCCTCAGTCACTCCCCCCCATCACCACCTCCATGCAGACTCTGGCCCTGGTCACCATCACTGGCCTCCCCACTGTGCCTGCCAACACAGCCCAGCTCACAAGGCGTTTCCAGAGCCATGGCACACCTGGGGTCAATCCCAGGCTGAAATCAGGAAACACTGCCTGGTGTTCCACTTCCACGGCCCTGAGCTGAGGCCTACCTAGCTCACCCTAGCTGGCAGCCAACTATTTGGAAAATAGGGAAGAAAGCAGTAACCAGAGAATAAACTAAAAGCTAAGGTATGCTGACAGGTCTGCTCAGTCTGCTGGGTGTCCTGAAAGCTCCTCCCACATCAGCTCAGAATTTAAGCTCAGTTATTAGAACAAAACTGAGCTCAGCCAGGGCCAGCTCTGCCTTAGAGCAGGAGCGGTGCTGTGAGAAAGGAAACCCTTCACAAAGCACAGAGGAAATCGGTCAGAAGCGCTGCTGCATTAGAGAGAGGAAACTGAGGCATGAAGGGAGATGATTCAGCTCCTTTAGAGGTGTTCTCTGGACCTGACAGCACCCTGGGTGCTTCCTGCCCTCCTCTCACTGCAGGCTCTTCTGTGGGTCCCCTCGCAGAGCACAGCCTGTGCTGACCCAGCACTGGCAGGCACCATCCCCAAGGTGATGCCCAGGTGACCC